GTACTCCATCCAAACATAAGACACTCGGAACATTCATCACACAAACAAACAAAACAACCAACCTGGTAAGTGAAGTTGACCATGGTCGGCCCTGGGCCAACCTTTAAAACCCTAGACCTTCCACCACCGGAATCCCTCCACTCTGGCGGCATGGTACGGCCCCCAAGTGACCCCAAGATGACGTCAGCATTCCCAAAAGACAAGGGCAGAGATGGAATTTTCGGAAACCTCTCAAGCGCCTCACTATCCTCTAACCCCAATCTCTCCCCACCTTCAACCCCAGCCCACCCCGGACTAAGTGGGTCCCCTACACCCCTCATAACAGTCCCTCTCTCCACACCCCCACTTAACCTACCCTCCTCGGCGTACAACAGAACAGCCAGCGCACCTTTAGACTCGGCTATTTTAACTACTCCACCCCTGCTTAAACCCCCACCTTTCCTTACCAAAACAACACATCCACTAACATTCACCCCTAGCACCCCAAGAGCATTATAGTCCACTTCACGACCATAATTCACAAAGACAACCTTAGCGTGCACCGAACCAGATGGCGAATAAGCATGGTACGGTGCAACAATTTTTTCTGATTCGGCAGAATCAACAAATTCATTCATATTAAAATTTACAACACTCCCGTTGCTAAAATGCGCGGAGAGTGATGATTTCACGGGGTAAGAAAGCAGAACTTGGTATTCCTTCTTGTGCGTTTCTAAATTTAGTTTCCTGAAATGGGAGGAGACGTAGTTGACGGTGTCAAGAGAAAGGCTGGTGCCAGCAAGGTGAGGGTGGAGAGTGAGGGAGTGAAGGTACGAAGAGATGGTGGAGTTAGAGGAGGAAGAGAGGAAGAGGGTGGTGGCGTGTTGGAGGGTAGTTTTGGGATTTTGAGAGTGGTGGAGAGTGTAAAAGAAACCAAGAAAACAAAGCGCTGTCAAGAAAAGGAAACTGTAGAGTGGGGGTGGTGGCTTTGACGGAGAAAAGATTGAGGTTGTTGCTGTTGTCGTTGGCTTCGTTAACGGTGGAGACATTGTTAGAAAGAAAGAAAGAAATGTTTCTTATTTCCTCTTGTTTTTTCAGGGGTGTGTTTTAATGCTTTGTGGTGGCTGGTTACAGTCTTTACAGAGTTTTTTTAAAGTCTGAGGAGAAGTGAGTGGACTTAGAATTGGTGGAACAGGAAACAGTTATAGTGTATTTTATATATTATTAATGCTCCTTATATAGGAATGGTAACATATGATGTGATGTGCAGTAGTAGTATGGTAAATTTGCAATGATTCATGGGATGGGATGGGGGATGGGATGGGGATGACGAGAAGAAGGCTGCAGCAGCAACCCATGGAAAGTGTCCCTGAGAAAGGCCTTCAAACTGTCCTTTTATCTGATTTTATTTTATTTTATGCGCACGCATATATAGTAATAGTAATACTCGTAGTAGTTAGACACGCAAGGAGAAGGGCAGAGGAGGGGTAGGCCTCAGGGGGTCAGGTGGGGTGGGGAATGTTTGTGCATGGTAAGCATACATACCACGAGATAAAATTTTGTCGATGGTTTTTTTTTAACGAGTAAATTATTCTTTCATCCGTTAATTTTCAACTCATCATTATCTTAGTCTCTCAGTTTCCAAAAATCATAGTTATGTCTTTCGCTTTAATTTTCTGTTTATAGTACTTTTTTTTTTTTTGTTTACAATGCACCGTTAATTCTCTGTTATTATTTATCAAAAACTCTTTTAATAAATTCAAATTTAGTATTTTGAGTTGAAAATTTTCAGATATGATAATAAAAATACAATCTACTTTTAAACATAAATTTTTAAAATTTTTAGAGATCATGAAGTATTTTTCTTAAACATTAAATCTGTACGAAATTATAAAAAAATAATTTGGAATGATTTTTTAAGTTTTTTTTGGAGATCCTAAAAAAATCATATATATTTATCTAGTTATTTTTAGTATGATTCTTGAAATAACAAAAAATTAAAATATATTAATTTTAAGAATCACACTTGTAAATATTTTGAGAATCATAACAAAAATAAGCAAATTTTTTTTTTTTTGGGATTCCAAAAAAAATAATAGGATCATTTCAAATTTAAAATTTTATACTTTTAAAAAAAATACTTTCTAGTCTCAAAATGTTTTGAAATTATCTTTGAAAGTAGATTGAATTTTTATCAGAATATGTGAACAATTTCAATTTAAAATTCTAAAAAATGAAATTTTTTTGAAGAGATTTTCGGTCAATAGTAACAGAGAATGAATTACAATGTCAAAATGGATTAAATTATAAAATAGGTGACATAATTGGAGGCTTTTGAAAATTGAGAGACTGAGTTATAATTATGTTAAAAAGAAGGGACTAAAGAGTAATTTACTCTTTTTTGAAGTGGAAGGGGGTCCTCCTACATGGGACGGAAGGGTGTTGGACCTGGTTTGGTTAATGTTAAATTATCGATAATAATCAAGTCTTAAAATTGTTGTTGGATTCTTGCATCAAATTCTTTTTTTTTTTTTTTTTTTTTATCAATTCTTTCTTGCATCAGATTTCACGCCTGAGACCAAATAATGTTCAAATTTTTGGATAGGAACAAAGTAAATGACTATTATTCATCTACAAGTCTCGAGCCCTTTAAGAATTTCATTACAAACATGGTGAATTATGGTATTAAATTGTGTGGATCTCCATTATAAAACTAAAATAGTAAAGATTTAATTTATTACCATTTTTTGTTTTAGGAATATAAAAAACATTATTCATGTTTCAAATCTTATCAATGAGTTGATCATTTAATGATTTGCATATAAAATAATAAAATTTAAGTTGTTACCATTTTTTTTTCTTAAATTGATTATTGTGAGAGAAATAAAAAAATAAAGATTTAAATCAATATCTTTTTATCATATCTAAATTAATCATATACATTCAATTCAATTTAAACTTAGTAAGTAGAATCTGAAAAGAATATCAGATAATCCAAATCTATTAGTATTGTTATCATATAGAAAAAAAGTAAACTCTTAATATCAATCGTTAAATTTGTAAGAGTTATTGACAAAATTCATTTATTTAATACATAGAATATTCATTCAAATGGTTGAATATTTTTTCAATAAATAAATTATATGAAAATAACATCATTTGTTATTAAAAATCTGATGTTGATTTATTATTATCTGTCATGATTCAACAGACCCTTATTATCCAGATTAGTTTACATCTAAAATTTTGAATAAAAAAATTAAAGAAATGAGTAAGCCTCTTTAAGCACGGGACCAACTAATTGAGATCCTAACAGCTTGTCTTAATTAACACCAGAACACTTGCTAAAGTACTTGGGTAAGTGTTTATGTCCAAAAGGATAAATTGTTTGGCGCTTTCTACGTGACTGATTCAAAGTAGCTTTATAGATGCTTCGGCGTGATTACAAGTCGATACCCTTGTTGTCATCATCATGAGTTGCATCCTTAAAATCATTGCCGAAAAAACATCTCTTCAGTCTTCAGTCTTATCTATTCTTTGTTATGAAATAAAGTTTGATTACAAATCCTCTAATTGGGATTAAAAAGAAAAGGATATGAATGGGGCCACATGGGAATTGGGTATCCATGCTAGGCAGTGATCAGATGAGTCACGATACAAGGTGTCATTATAAGAGAAGCGATTCTCATCTCTATCAGCAAGTACTCTCCCTCCCCACATGAATATCTTTGTTCTGAGTGACACATCTTTAATGGACACTAGAATACCAAAGTTGTGGCTATAAATGAAAAAAGAGAGAGAGAGTGTTGTCATGGGTTTTATTTCGGAAAAGGACGTGAAGCTTTTTCATGATCTTTGTTCATCTTTTATTTTGTAGTTTGTAGGTAATCAAGGGCAATGAGAATCCATGTCTTTTTGCCAAAAGCTGGCCCTCTGGTTCCAAATGGATCGGATGCTCACAGCTTATGCTGAGCTGAGTGGGGATAACATTTGCTTTTATGCATCCAAGATGTCCCTCACCTGAAAAAGATATCATATATACCAACAAATAATGCAAATCATGAAAGATGCTTTTTTTCTAAAGGAGATCCTACTATTGGGAAGACAAGCTGGTCCTCGAAAGATTTTGCAGGTCCAGTTCTAATATTCCACATGTAGTAGATATCTCAATTTTTGATATATGATTAGACATCCCAACTTTTTGCATGGTTGCATTTTTTGTTTACCAGTTATTCGCAATGATTTCCTCACTGAAAAAATTAGAATCTCTGTGACCACCTTTGCTCTTTCGCTGGCGTCATGGTCCCAAGTCTTACCCCGTGTCGGTACCTGGCTTTAAGCCTCTACCAGAATGTTCACATCTGAGCTATCTGCATTCCTTTTCTCGGAAGCAGAAAAAGATACATTAAAGTGGCATGAAAAGTAGCAAACAGGAAAAGACGAGAGGGCCGGGGTTAGGCAAGTTAGGGTTAACTGACTCTAGTTAAATTGCTAATCTGTGAGATTAGGCCTACCAAACAAGCAATATTGTAGTGCGGATGACAGCGAAAAGCATGAAATTAGGTGTATACCGTACGAGTATGGCGTACCCAACAGATTGTGGTATTTGTGATGGTGGCAGTCCACGAAGCTGTTTGCAACCCTGATCACAAGAACGTCAAAACTACTTAGTTTTAATTAGTTGCATGGAATCAACAAGTTGGAAAGGCTCCAAGAGCACATTAATGCAACATGAAGATGCCAGATTGTTTCCTCTTAAAAACGAAGAGCAAATTTGGTGAATGGGACAATCTTTTTAGGGTAAATCCTCGAAAGTTATGATCTTCCATTCGATTGGATACAGGCCTTTGGCTAACAGTAGTATACAAAGCAAGTTGCTATCTTTAGTCACGAAATACATGATCTCTAGAGATACATCCCCTTCTACCGGTTGCTAATAATGTATCTATTATATGGTTGTCGATGTGACAACCTAAGCTACTAAAAAGGAAAAAAAACACATAATTCAAGCCAAAAATCCTTCAAAAACCAACAATAGAACTCCAAGTACCATAAGCGGCAAACAGCAATCCACCTATCAAGAAGATATAATCCAAGGCTTTCTGCCAGAGACGTAACGATGGACCTAATAATTTTAGGTGAAATGTGGCTGGCAAAACAAATGAGATTAGCGCACATAGAGTACTCCCCACAAGTGATGCGAATTCACCAAACCCGGGCACAAACGATGCCAAGAATGCCAAAACAACAATCAAAGTAGCACGACTCAGATATCTTCCAAACTTTCCAACTAATGTTGGATTCTCACCATCTTTATAGCAGACCGTTCGAAACCATTCACTGTTCTTCAGCTTCCCCTCAACGATCTCGTGAATTGGGTGTGCCATGATGGGAAATGTAAATGCTAGTCCCAAGCACAATCCAACCTGTTGCCAATTAGCACAAAGATTAGCATGGCCATGACATCCTGTTGCACCATATTTCAATATTGCAGTGATAAGATCATCATGACAATTTCATTGTTACATACTTACCTTTGCAATTATTAAGTCTTATGTCCCATAACTTGTAGGTAGGTACACATGCAAGATAACAAAGTTTTACAGTATAGAGATACATGCTTATGCATGTGGATCTGTGTCTACCATATGGATTTTGATAAAAATTAGAAGCAAAAAGACAATCAGTTCCAACTGGAGATGGATAGCGAATAACAATTATACTAGACAACGACAAAGTAGACAGGTAGGGAAGGCATCTGTTATTGCACCCCAGGGCAAATGGATATAAAGAACTGGTTTTAAATTCTAAAGCTACCCTTTATTTTATTAATTCCAAGATGTATTGGGATACATTAAGATTTCTTGTAATAAAAAACTACACAATGAAGCTATGCACTTCTAAATCTAATACCACCACAGAAAAAGGAAAGGGAATCTTTGAGCTAGTGCTAGTGCGGTATGTAAAGATGAAAAGAAGCATTGATACTATGTTAGTGACATATACACATTGCAGAAAGTCTGGAGCACATTACCTGAACAGCAATTGTGGACCAATTGTGGGGCAAATTGAGAGTTATAATATCTTTAGTTTCATCACCATAAGCCATATAACCAGAAAAACCAAACAGAACATACACAAGAGTTATTCCAGTGAGTGCACTGGCCAGCAAGCTAGAAAAACCGCCCCTCTCTTTCATTGAAGCCTCCAATGACAATGTCATCCCAAACCCTTCAAAACAGAAGACTGCCATCCCTCCAGCAAATGGCAATCCTCCTATACTAGACGTGATTGCCTTTCTCTCACTAAACCTGAATTCACCACTTATTACCTTATCTACATCCTCTTTCACCACAATTGCCATCGCTAGCACATTGCATGTGTCGGCAAAAATGCTAAAAGGTGCTAAAGAAGATAACGAATTGATCCAAGATAGTGCAATTTCGATAGGTACTAACAAGAATATGAAGGATGAGGAAGAAATTCCATGGCCCTTGAATACAGATGATAGGTTTTGGCCAATAAAGACTAGGTATGCCACTGCTCCTCCGCATTGGGATGTGAAAATGAGAAATTCTGTCAGGTAACGGCCTGTGTTACCCATACATTTGTAACCCAAGTCACCATAAGTTTCTGTTTCTGGTGTTAATTCTTGAGATGCTAGCTTTTCTTTGCATTGAACCTGCAGCAGTAGGCCAAGAAAACAAAAATATACATCTGTCATCAAGGAAAACAGAATCCTTCTAACATTTTTACCTCAAATAACTGACACCAAGACTTCAATTTACAATACTCATTAGTTTTGCATAAAACAATTGACTTAAAGACTCAATCCTACATCTTTAGGATGGTGAGCTTGATTATTTTTTTCCAATCAATTCACTCAGTACTGACTAATTAATGACACATTAAAGAATAGAAAAAAACAGTACAAAAGATTGCCACTGAATTAATACCAAAGTCAGACAATGTTGATCTTTGGGATGTGATGTTACCATTTTAAGTCTCTTAAAGAATTTTCTGAACTAAGTACTTGCTGTTCCTGAAGTTTCTGGGCCACGTAAATTAAAAAGAAGCAACAGAGCCTGGAGGCCCTAGACCACATAAAATAGGCACAGCTAATCCCAAAATTTAAAATAAACCAGAACCAAAAACAAGAAATGAAGTTAGAAAAAGCAGAGACTAAAAATTGTAATGAATAGTAAACCGCATAAACAAATAATATTCCTCCGAACAAGCAAAAGCTTGACTCGAGCCCTGAATTAGATATATGTTTTTACTATAAAAACTGCATCTGGGCCAACAAGAATTTACACACGCGCAAAAGGAAGAGTAAGAAAAAGGAAAGGAGAAGAGAAACTGAGAAAAGGAAAGGAGAAGAGAAAACTGAGAAAAAGGAAAGGAGAAGAGAAAACTGACTGACAAGGAGAAGCATGCAATAGAAGGTGGCAATTCCGGCAATGATGACACCAAGAGAGCCAGCAAGCCAACCAGCAATTCGAAATGCGAAAGGGAGTCCTAAAATACCAGTGCCAACTACGGAAACTATTATATTCCCAAGTGTTTGAAATTTAGAAGCTGTTCCTGTTGAAGAAGATTCGAGTAGAGGAATTGAAGCATTCTTCACTTTATCTCCCATTTCTTTTTTCCCGTTTTTCTTCTCTCTTGATTGCCTGGACTTTTTCTATTTCTGTGGGGGGCTTTCGTTTGCCTTTCGTCTTTGTTTTAAGACAAAAGGTTAGGTTGGTTTTGGAGGCTTCGGTGGTGGATGTCTCTCTGCCAGCAAGTTGGATAAGTTATGGGGGTGAATTTAGGTCTTGGATCGTGACTGCTAAATTCAGAATATTGCTCTGTTTTGGGATGTGAATCTCTTATTTTTTGTAAAGGGGATCCAGATTTTCACCTATATGTTTGCTGATCATGAGATTCGAGTCTTTTTCTCTTGCTTGGCACCTGGCACCAGTGAAGGTGAAGCTTAGCATGTGACAATTGAAAAACGAAATATAAATATATTCCATGCTTTTATCCATTTCCTCTTTTTCTTCCTAATTTGGCACAAAATGCAATGAATAATTACAAGTGCTAATTTTGTTTGATGAACATTAATTAACATAATCTCGAAATGATTGGATTGGTTTGATGATTAAAATATATATATATATTTTAGATTTAAAAGTTATAATAACAATCAAATAGACATGAAAGTTATGTTTTTTAAAAAATAGAAAAAAAATTAATATTTATTGACATGCAAGTTAATTCGAAAATTTCCGTTAACCTATAAAAAAAGAACATCAGAATTACAAAAGTCTATAAGATATAGACAATATAATCGTGAAAGGTTTCATTAGAATTTTAGCCTGCAGAAGTGTATTATAGGGTACTTTCCGCTAATTTTGAGAGACGGGAAAAAGAATTGAAGAATACAAAAACAAAATATTTTTCGTAAATTTTTTTTCCTGCAAATCTGTAAACAAGAAAATGAAGGTTTTAGTTGAATCCACCTATAGCTAGAGTTCCATATCAGATGTCTTAGTACCAATTGACTACAACTAATCAATTCCTCGTGTTACGCTGTGAATCAGATAGGGCGAAATAGCTTTAAAATTTTATAATTTTTTATTTAATTATTTTTTTTAATATTTTTCACAAATTATCTATTTAAAAAAAAACATAAATCATTTTTCTTTTATGGATTGATTTTGAAATAAAAAAAAATTATAATAATTTCAACTAAAATATTAATCAAGAATTAAAAATTTTAAAAATATATTTTTTTATAATATTGTATTACAAAAAATAAATTTATAATTAATAGAAAGACTTTTATAAAAATAAAAAATAAAAAAAATCTTATTTAATGCTGATGAGAAGATTAATTTTTGAAATTATTCGCGTAACGCCGTGAGCGAGATAAAACAAAATCGTTTCAAAATTTTATAATTTTATAATTTATTTTTTTATTTAATTATTACTATTTTTTTCATAAAATTTCTATCTAAAAAAACATGATTTATTCTTCTTTATTCGAGAGATTCTTAAATGAAAACTTGTAATAATTCAAACTTGAATTATTAATTAAGAATTCAAAAATGAATATTTTAAAAATATTTTGTTTATAAAAATGTATCCAAAAAATAAAGTTATAATTAATGTATATACTTGCATAAAAATTGACTAATGCAGAAATAAAATTTTACTCTTATTTAATATTGGTGAGAAGATTATTTTTTTAAAAGTGTATGCATTTGATTTATATATATTTATTTACAAAATAATCAATAAAATTAGCATAAAAATGTATTTGAATAATTGGTTGGTTCCTTTAAAAAATTATTTTAATTATTTTATTTCAAATAAATTGGTTCCGTAATGTTAAAAAAATATTCTTCGTAAATAATTTGTATTATATTGAAAGATGTATAGTCAATTTTTAATAAAAATAAAGATTCAATAATTTTTTTTATACTTCTTGACCATATCTAATGAATTAAGATAAATATTTGAAATAAAATTTTAACCATTTAGAATAAAATAATTATATATTTATATATATATGCAACTATCATTTAAAAATTCTAAGAATTCATTATATATATTATATCAATTTATTTTTAAAAAAAGAAAACGAAAAAACAAATATGTTTTAAAATTTTATTCTAAAATTCAAACATAGAGAAAAATAAATTATATTTATCAACAAATAAAATTTTATCTAAAAAAATATTAATTGGACGAGAATTTTCGTAAAAGATGATAAATTCAGATAATAAAATTTAAATAATAAGAGTAATATAAATCGAAGCATATGCTAATTTTATAATATATATATATATATATATATAGACACACACACACACACATAGCGTGAAAATGAAAGAAAAATTAAAACTAAGGATTGAAAAAAAAAATTACAACATGAGAGTCGAAAATATAAAAAGTGTTAAATTTGTATATTAATGCCTAAAAAAACCACACACAAAAATTACTTAAATTGCCATCAAGTGAATAATAATTTTATACATATGAATAGTAAGTGAATAAAAATTTTAGACATGTGACCGAGTTCGGATTCCCGCGCTATGTTGCGGATCGTACTAAATATATTTATTTTAATTTGATAATATATACTATATTATTAGTTAATTAAAATATATTAAAATTAAATATAAAAGATAAAATTTTATCTAATTGTATCTATAACTTTTTGGCATGTCATACTCTGTTTCTTCTGCTTTTACATGCAACTCGTTGTTTTTTGCTCTTTTTTTTTTTTTTTTTTTTAAATCTTGATTTTATAGGTTTGTGGGTCGGTATGTCATGCTCAGCTTAGACTTATTGTTCCTGGAAAAATGAGTGAACGTGACAAATTGATTGAGCATAATGCTCTGCTTTTGGATCAGTTTTTTCTCTATCCAAACCCTCATCCATCCATCCTGCAAATTCGAAAACCATATTCCTTCATTAGTTTTTATTTAGGGATTCATCTTGTAATTGAAGTAGATCATTTAATATTTTTGCTTTCTTATTACTACTACTCATGGATCTGAATTTTATTGTCGTGGAGTTCTGCATTATTTGGTCATGAATTTGTTATTGGTAGTTTTCATGTTTTGCCTACTTTGCTTAATTATATTGAGTTGGATAATTGCTTTTGGTTCCCATTGTGATTTTTAGAAGAAGAGATTGTTTTGTTTTTCTTCATTTTCAAATTTTGTTGATTTTTTTTTAGATGGTAAATTAATCTATCTTGTCTTGTTACAAAAAATTTTTAATGTCGGTTATCAATTTTAATCTAAAAAATACCTGAAAAATAGTGAAAAATGCCACATTAAGGAAAAAAAAAACAGAGAGAGATTGAATAAAAAAAAAAATCAAAGTCACATTAAGAAGAAAAATCAAAAGAATAAATTATGCTTAATGCGATTAACCCGAGGAAAGATTGATGATGCTCGAAAAGATTAGGATGTGCTATTTTATTATAAACTCCAAGGCAAATGGCAATCCACATACAATAGAAGATTCATAGTATTATGTGTGAGGATGAATACTTGAGGAACGGTCACAACCCCACATCCTTTTTTTTGTACAACTTTTTTTAGGTTGTAAATTAATCTATCGTGTCTTGCTACAAAATTTTTTTATGTCATTTATCAGTTTTAATTTAAAAATTAGCTGAAAAACGATGAAAATGCCACATTAAGAAAAATAAAAAAAAATACGGAGAGAGATTGAATAAAAAAAATTCAAAGTCACATTAAGAAGAAACATCGAAGAATAAAATTATGTTTGATGCGATTGACCCGAGGAAAGATTGATGATGCCACGAAAAGATTAGGATGTGCTATTTTATTATAAACTCCACGGCAAATGGTAGTCGGCATACAATAGAAGATTCATAGTATTATGTGGAAGGGTGAATAGTTGATGAACGGTCACAACCCCATATCTTTTTTTTGTACAACTTTTTTTTTTTAGGTTGTAAATTAATCAGTCGTGTCCGGCTATAGAAAATTTTTATGTCGAGTTATCAATTTTAATATGAAAATTAGTCGTAAAACAATGAAAAATGCCACATTAAGAAAAATAAAAAAATACAGAGAGAGATTGAATAAAAAAAAAATTCAAAGTCACATTAAGAAGGAACATCGAAGAATAAAATTACGTTTGATGCGATTAACCCGAGGAAAGATTGATGATGCCCCGAAAAGATTAGGATGTGCTATTTTATTATAAACTCCACGGCAAATGGCAGTCCACATACAATAGAAGATTCATAGTATTGTGTGGAATGGTGAATAGTTGATGAGCGGTCACAACCCCACATCTTTTTTTTGTACAATTTTTTTTTTTAGGTTGTAAATTAATCTGTCGCTACGGAAAATTTTTATGTTAGTTATCAATTTTAATATGAAAATTAGCCGTAAAACAATGAAAAATGCCACATTAAGAAAAATAAAAAAATACGAGAGAGATTGAATATAAAAACAGATCAAAATCACATTAAGAAAAAAATTAAAAGATTAAAATTACGTTTGATGCGATTAACTCGAGGAAAGATTGATGATGTCCCGAAAAGATTTTTTTTATTTTATTTATTTATTTATTTATTTTTTTTGGAACAAGGATGGTACCCTAGAATATCATAAATGAAACGTGGGATTGTACAAGGGGCGACAAACCGACCTAACCCAATATATTGGCGGGACAAAGTAGCCTAAATTCTTGAAATAATACAATAAGAATCCCCGAAAATACTATAGAAATACTTAGCAATATGATACTATAATGGAAATTATGGAAAAATCAAAACATTTAAACAAAACTAATTCTTAAACCTCGTTAAGCCATAGTAGTCTTCCTTGAGAGCCACCGGAACTAAAGCAAAGAGAGAATCTAGAGAATGATATGTCACTTGGTTTCCATGAACATAAGCGTGATCTGCTAGTCTATCAGCCGTGAAGTTGACATATTAGGAAGTGCTATTTTATTATAAACTCCATGACAAATGGCAGCCCATGTATCGTAGAAGATCCACAGTATTATGTGTGAGGGTGAACAGTTGATGAATAGTCTCACCCTCAAATCTTTTTTTGTTGTATTTTTTTCTTTGTTTTTGTTTTTTAGGTGACAAATTAATTTGTCGTATCTTGCTACAGAAAATTAGTTGAAAAATAGTGAAAATGTCACATTAAGAAAAATAAAAAAAAAAACAGAAAGAGATTGAATAAAAAACAAATCAAAGTCCCATTAAGAAGAAAATCAAAAGAATAAAATTACCTTTGATGCGATTAACCTAAAGAAAGATCGATGATGTCCTGAAAAGATTAGGATGTGCTATTTTATTATAAATTCCACAGCAAATGGCAGTCCACGTACCATAGAAGATCCAATGCATTATATGTGAGGGTGAACAGTTTATGAACAGTCTCAACCTTCCATCTTTAAGAGTCTTTTGTAATAAGGTAGCATGGACTAAAGTGTTTAAGAGGCTGGGTTAGAGGTTAAGGAATGTTGTGATTTTTTTTGCCATGGGTGTGTGCGTGTGTGTATAGATATATATGGACGAGCACATAGTCCCCTAATCCTAACTGATGTGCCGCCCTGCTAAGGATCCAAAATAGATTATTTGAAAACATTCAAATTTATTTGCACACAAAAGGAGAATTTTTTTTTCTTTTTCCACAAAAAAACGAAAAAGAAATCAACTGACATACCATGCCGACTACCTGTGAAGAGTCTTCAGGTGGGGACGGATCTATGGTGTTAATATTTCATCAAACTTCACCTTAGAACAAACTCTGCCCATAACAGCAGTAAACTGAGCCTCGTTCTTCAACTTCCCCTGGTCCTTTCAATTACTCAGTTCTCTTCTGTTAGCATAGGTTCTGAGTGGCAAGACAGAAAACTCGAAGCCCCATTGGGTTTCGAAACCAGAATCTTTGGGTTCTTGCGACGGCTTTCTTTTCTTTCAAGAATCAGACACTAGTCATCACGCAAAAGAAAGTCTTGGAAATACTTCATCCTATTCTCACCCATCAACAAAGGAATACCGTACCTTCTTTGCACCCATATTGAAGTTGTGGATGTGACTGAAATTGAGCATCACTATTTTACTTACGGATACGGATTTGGACATGATTCAGTCAACGATGACTACAAGGTTTTGAGAATGCACAGCGGCATCCTCAAGGAAAGGCTGATAGCTCGAGCCTTCAAGTTCAGGTTTTATAGATGGAAGGCCATGTCATGGAGATCAATTTCTGCATGTGTTATGTCGAAAAGCTTATCATTACTTTTCATCGGGGCTGCCAAGATTATCGCTTCCCTTGAAGCATATTAGGTCCTTTTAGTGTTTTTGTTTCAAGCATATGAATAGACTACACTACCGGTAACGGCCCAAATAAAGCAATCCGAGGCATCCCTTTCTACACTTGGCTTATCAGCTAAGAATGCTAGATCATAGCCCAAAGAAGGCTTTTTTCGCTGTCTGCTAGCTAGCGGCATTAGCATCTTAGGCTGGTTCGAAGAATAGAGCAAAGGCGGCCAGTGGTTTTTTGTCGGGGGGCAAAGGGGGTGGCTTATTGTATCATCTTCAAGGTTCTTTTAATTTTCTGATTTATGTACAGATCATTTGATTTACTGGACAACTTAACACGGTGCCTCGGTTTGGTAAATAAGAGAGAGAGTCCAAAAGGATGCCCTGACCCTTAAAATATTTGGGACTTTCACGAAAAGGTCTCCTGTTCGAATCCTAAAAGAAAAGCCTTCTTCGGGCTAAAAGCTCCTTGGGAGAGAGCATATATATATATACAGAAACAAGAATAATATTTCATCCTTCATCCACTTCTTTTCTTCCTCATTTGTCCCAAAATGGAATGGAGATTAATTTTTACTACAAGAACAAAAGAATTGAAAAATTACAAAATAAATACAGAAACAAAAATTGGGTTATAAAAAACTCCACCTAAGCGTGGCTCTAAGGGTGACAGTCTTCATGATAGACTGATTGGAGTTGAAATCGCTGGCATCTCCTAGATAATATCATTGTGGTTCGACCCCCATACAGTATCCTGTTTAATGTTTGGGGGCTGAAACGGCCAAATCAATGCCGAAAAAAATGCTCACAGGTTGTACAGAAAAAAAGTAGTGCTCATGACCCAGCAAAAGGTTATAAAATTGTACGTATATAATCTTGGAACTGTTATCCAGCCCGTTAGAATCTACTTCAATTCACTTCTCCTCACCATCATCATCTTATACAATGAAAATAGTTCTCCAAATTCCTAACACCTTATCTTGAGGAAACATTGATCCTAAAGCTTTTGGAACCTTGTAAACTCACTTTGCCAACTATTCCTTGCACCTATGAATATAATAATATAATGATAGAGTAACTATACAGGATATGCGTCACTGAAAGATATCATACCATGTGTTCAATCCATTGGGATAGAGCATGGCATAACCCTACTAAGTTTAGTCTACACTCTAACGCTAGTGGATAAGACCAGGAGATGCAGAACAATGAATTAGTTTACAGCTCAACCAATAAATAAGTATGTGCTTCTGTGTTACATTTTGTTTAGTCTACCCAAAACAAGTAATTTTAGTAGTTTAAAAGGCAAAGGAATTCCGCATCAAGCATACAAAAGAATAACTCAGGTGCTCAGAATCTGTTGGAAATGTGCCTTATTTCATCCTGAACAAATCACCCATCTTGATAAAATTGTCTTGATCTACATCAATCTATGTTGCAAAATTCCCACACTAATTCTACACAACATGCAATCCCTAACGAGCAGACAGCATTGTAAATCATCTAGCACAGTTATATCTAACTGTCATGATACAAGACCTACAAGACCTGCCCTCCAGCTACAACTTCAATCACTTACAAAAATAAGGCATATGTACCTGGATGGTTCAACGCATCCCTCCTCTTTCGTCGAATGCTACTAGATTATATTAACATTTAGTGAGCTCCAAAACAGTGTGGCTGACAAATACAGTCAATAGCATGGATCAGCTTTCTCCGAGGGCCTACTGCATCTGCACCCATATCCTTCAGCTTCTTCATGCTTAGATTCACCAACTGAAAGTTACTGAAACTCTTCCCTTGAAAAATCCTCACAAACTGCCACAACCCAATTGATGCTAACCACCTGCTCAATCCACCAGCTTTTTGAAGCTTCTTCTCAAGAAGTGATGCCCTTAGCCTCTGATTTAGCAACATCCCACCATCAAGGAAACTACCTGGCCCACACAAAAGTCTTGGCCGTTTGATTGTTTTGGATATGTTCAACACTCCAAGCATATTACGAGACCTAAAAGCATCAGTTTGGTCTGGCTTTCTCCATTCCATGGTTACATTTAGTCTTCGTAGCTTGTCTAATGCTGAAAAGTGCTGTGCAGGAGGAGTTATTGCAGTAATTCGATCACCTCTATTAGGAGCCAATGGTGCAATCTTTTCCTGTTCGTCAGCTGAAGGCATCCTGGTATTAGTAGTCTCAATCGGCCCGATTGGTTTATTATTGACTGCTTTTACCGGCACAGCTTCTGGCTTACTTGGTCCTGGCTTCGGTATCACAGATTTTCTGCGAACAGGTAGGGGAGGCACCAGAATGGTGACTCTCTGCTTTTTAACTATAACCCAACCATCCTCTCCATCAAAATCCAAATCATTGGGAGAAGAACTCTTTTTTCTTGCAGGCTTCGCTGCTAGATGTCTTTGCTTTGATTTTCCCATCAGCCCTTAATCTATCAGATATACATTAGCAAATAGAAACAAACTAAATAGCTACAAATTAAAATTATCTGACAACTAACTGGTACAACAAACAACAATTATTCCTTCCAGGAAAAAAAACATCTAATGATGACAACAGCGTAGCACTAAACTTTGGCACCAAATTTCACAAGCAATTTCCAGTTGTAATTTTACCTATCTCTATATTTGGAAGAGAGAAAAAATCTAAAATAAAGTATAACTTTCTTGATTCTTCATACGTCATTTCTAAAATAGCAATAGAATCAAATTGAAAGAGAGACACGAAGTTACCTAAGAACAGCAGGACTGCAATTTGATTAATCGATCAATAATTCTTATCGAAACAGAAAAATCTCCGCCAAGAACCAAGCAAAAAATGCCCTAATCGGAGGAGGAGGGTTGATTTTCATCATTGTTATAATCAAGGTGTAAAATAAAATACAGAACAAAATACAATCCAAATTTAGCAATTCTCGGGCCTAGAATATGTTATTAGGGCTAGGCCCATTTTAACATTTGGCTAAATTGTAAATTAGCTCATGAAATTCGATAAAAAACAAATACCTTCCTTAATTAATTTTTATTATTATTTTACTCGATAAGCTAATTTAATTGAAAATTTAAAACTAAATTTATAGTTTAGCAAGATTTCTGTCAATCTCATCATTAATAGGTCTCACATATCACTAATTATATAAAGGATTAATGGTTATAAAGATCCATTTATTTATTTATTGTATTTATCATGTCTCTATTTCTTTTAGTCTTATGTTCATTTTTTTATTTTTTTTGGATTCTACCTTAATATCATCTATTTATTAATTTTTGGATTGATGGTATTAATTTATTTTTTCTTTTTTAATCTCATCCCTCTACCTATTTTTTTATCTTAGTTTTTTTTTTTTTTTACCAAATTTAATTTTACACGATAAGCTAATTTAATTGAAAATTTAAAACTAAACTAGTAGTTTGGTAAGGTTTCTGCCAATCTCATGATTAATAGGTCTCACATATCGTTAATTATACAAACAGCATCAATCTCCCTCTCTCCTTCTTTCTTCACTTTGTCTCTTTCTGTCTCTACGTTCATCTCCTTTGTTTTCTGTCCCCGTCTCGATGCCGATCTTCAAAACAACATTACTTTGCTCTCTTTTGTGTTTATGAATCATTACTCATTACGTTGGTGGACTTAAGCCGAAGTTTCAGCGGTGGGCTGGGTGATGGATCCGAAGATCTCATAGTCATAGCGTTTAAGTTAAACCGTAACTCTAGAAAAAGGGGACGCATACGCTGCACCTTTGAGACGTGTCAAAAATCTAGCCGATCATCGAAAGAGCGTTTAAACCCCCATCAATAGAAAGAATGTAATTCCCGAGAGAGGCGCGGGTATCGTTATTCTTCAAAACAACATTGGTCTCTGTGTCTTTCTACAAGGAAGGAAGGAAGGAAGGAAGGAAGGAATTCTTTTCTACCTCTCAAAAAGTCGAAACACAAAAGAGAGCAAAGGAATTCCTTTCCAAATTCCAAAAACTCTTTAACAAAAGAAATAAATAAAAATACATTTACTTCTTTCGGTTCTTTTTTCTTTTCCTCGAAAAGATGAAGTTTGGAGAGACCTTCATGGAGTATTTGCACGGAGATCAAGAAGGGTGTTTGGATAAATGTGCTCATGTTGAGTACAAACGACTCAAAAAAGTGTTAAAGAAATGCAGAAGCCAAGGTTCACCATCCGCTTCTTGCGAAAACCAGCAGCTACAAGGAGATGATGAAGCGAGTCCAAGGTTGTCTAAATTGTGCCAATGTGAATCTTGCCCTTGTAAGTCTTCTTTTTTAGTTAGAAAGGTGAAAATTTGATATGGGATTTCCGTCAAATTTGAGAACTTTTGGACGACAGTTGTCAGCTTCTATTTTGGCTGATTATTCTTTTTTGGGCTCCGCTTTACATGCACCAAGATGAAGTCCCTTTTGGCTGATTAATATTCTTGTAAATATTAGATTAGCTGGGGTAGTGGGTGATAGCTTTTTAAGTTCATAAAGTTATATGAATTTGTCGAGTGATGTGAAGGGTAGGTGAAAAATAAATTATGGCAATAAAAAGAACCGGGACAATGCATGTGAAGAAATTATTTGTGTCTGTCCGTCTGTCTGTCACAGCCGTTTCTGTTTATCTGTTGCTCTAATCAAATTTTTAGTTTCTACGCTGATTTTTCCTTTCTCTAAGATGGATGTAATAATGTTTTGAATTGGATCTTTGGGAGTTCAAAAGTGTCAGCTGTGGTGGTAGACTGAAAGTATTTGGAGTATTTGCAAGAGATTCCGTATGCATCCTTATCCTGTTCTGAACTTCTGATGTATTTTCACAGTTGCTATAACAACTTATGATAGTCACTTCCTGTTTGTTTAATTCTCACAAGTTCACCGATTCTTTTCTTTGATTTCGTTACCATTACTGATTCAAGAGCGAAACTTTTATTTATCTAACAAACAAAGGAGGATAGAGTCACTGTAACTTGATTTGATGTGCTTGTGGTTAACCATTCATTTCTTAAGATTTATAATAATGTAACAATCCACGTTGGCTTCCCGAAGTTCTTGTATGGAAAAGATTTTGGTTTGAATATTTGTGACAAGTCATAATACAGGTTATATTGATAACTAACTTTTACAGCCTCAATTTAAAACAGAATAATTCAAGGGCTGAATATTTGTAATGGGGCTTGTATCTTTGTTATAATTAAATAGCTTTTTTTTTCTTTTTCTTTTTTTTGTAGTGTGCGATCAAATGTTCTTTTCGGAGTTGATGAGGGAAGCTTCAGATATAGCTGGATGCTTCAGTTCCAGAGTTAGACATCTCCTCCATCTTCATGTTGCCAGGGGAATACAAAGATACAAACTGCGTCTACGTCAATGTTTCATAAATGATCAGCAAACCATGGTTGAAGAAGCGCGTATGCTGATTGAATATGTTACCATGAATGCAATTGCTATCCGTAAAATTCTAAAGAAATACGATAAAGTATGCACCTATTTTGTCCATTTTTATCATTTGATCTTTCTTATCAGGTTTCTTACATTACAGACAAATTTAGGTACATTGCTCTGTAAATGGGAAGAATTTCAAATCCAAGATGCAGGCTGAGCATATAGAGCTTTTGCAATCACCTTGGCTAATAGAGTTGGGAGCCCTTTTTTTGAATTTTAATGAAATAGGTGGAAGAGAGTTTAGTGAGTTTTGCAGTCAGTTTTCCTGTGACCTCAATGCTACAGAACCTGTTATGACACTGATGCTTCCAAACTCTACCAAATTAGAATACAGTCTGACTTGTGCCATTTGCTTGGTAAGTAAGATCAATTCTGGTATATTCCAAAGCCAAAAAAAAAAAAAAAATTGTTGGTCTTAACTTGTCTTATTATTATTATTTTTTTGTTTATTTTGTTTTTTATCGTTATCTCTCAGGAGACAGTTTTCAATCCATATGCTTTGAGTTGTGGTCATCTTTTCTGCAAGTTGTGTGCTTGCTCAGCTGCTTCTGTGCTGATGTTTGAAGGCCTTAAAACTGCTAGTTCAAATGCAAAGTGCCCCATCTGTAGAGAGGTTTGTATGTCTCTAAAGCATTTTGCGGTTTATAATTTGCTGCACTAGACCATCTTATGTGTACTGCAGGATAATTGCTTGTGTGCATACGTGCACATGTGTCTGTGCATATTATATGTTTGAATTAGGAAGTGATTTGCATGAGTATATTTGTGCTCCTATAAAAATGAATTTCATTTAGTCAGGAAAGGAAATACCATCCAAGACTTTGCCTGACTCACAGGATTTATATTATCAAGCTGCCTTTATGGTCAATATGGCATTCAACCTCTTCTTGATCAAATATTTATTCACATGAATTTCCAAAAATTTAACTGGTAGTAAACAATTGCTGTGGGTAGAAGAGAAAGGAGTAAAAGAAAAGGGAAAAAAAATTATCTAAATCCACAATAAAGGAAAGGAGACTACAAATGGACCCAAGCTCAACCTGAAGACCAAAAGAGAGAATTCATTCAAAATATAATATAACATGATATGGCATCCACACCACAAGACTCCTAATATAGCCTTATATAGTTTTCTGGTACTCAAAAGTTTTCTATTTCCTAGACCCCTTGAAACCAAAACTTTCATATACATTTACCTTTCTTAAGATCCTAGTTTCAAAGCTTTGTCTAATTTATTCCCAAAACACAAATAACTGAGCCAAACCAGTAGCTGTTGTTTTGAAAGACACCATCTTATCCACTACATCAACAATGTGAGCAATTCAGAATACGTTTTTGGTCCTACATGCCTGGAGGAAATGAGCATCTATCTAAATGGAATATGAAAATCATGTGTTTTGCATTTAGTATGTGTTTGGCTTTCTGGTTGACTTTGCAACAAGTCAATCGTGAGTCATAAAGCCGGTTTCTGACCTTTTCAAAACCTAATTTGAAACCTCAATACGCTTAAACACAATAGTTTTGCCAAAGGAACTCATTGTTGCTTTCTCAATCCCGTCAGAGTCTTAGAGAGTCATTCTTTTTATCTTCTTTTAAGTAAAAAAGAATGTGTTTTTTCATTAGATGGAAAGTCACAAGCCTGTTACTTAAAGAGGTTTTAAAACACTTCCTCATCATATGATCTCCTTGACATCTGAGCATGATTGTCTCTCCTATTGGAATATGAAAAGATGCATTGTTTGTTATTGAATTGGTACCCCTCTGAGATGTGCTGTTGCTCAAGGCTGTATTGGGCCGTGGGTTGGCATGAATGTCACTCCCAGTTCACTCCTTTGACCACGTACCATACCATTTAATGTTCTTCTTTTCTTATTTCTTAAGTAGAGTACAACCAAACCTGAGGATAGGTGATTGAGAGAAATGACTCTCTCTTTATCTTTCAATCAGTCTTGCGGTCTATCTTATACCTGTTGTTGTTCTTATACTGATCGGATATGATACTCTTGTGCCATCCCCATACTGAGCTGCCTTTATGTGCATAGCTTCCTACAATGTCTCAGGCATCAGGATGCATGATTTTAGAAAATCATGCTGTACTAGTAAACTACCAATTGATGTTCATCGTTTCCCCTCTGATTAAACAATTTCATGATACATGATGTCTCAGGATTTGAACACTGTATAACAGTACTAGTCCAGTGTACTCGCTGGTAAAACAATTTATCTGGGCTCCTTGGTGCAAAACTAGGTACATTATGATGAATCATTATAAATTCATTATCTGTTCTCATTAGACTACGATACTGTATTCTGATCTTGGTGGGCAAAAATTATCTTTGATACTTAGGATTCCACCTTCTAATCCCTGATGGTTGCAGATAAATCATTATTTGGAAAGAACACACACACACACACACACACATATATATTCTGCTCCATTCAGATTGATGCCCTGATATATAAGATTGTTCGAAGGCATATACTAAGTGGGAGCTTGTGGCAGCTAGTTACGCTGAAGGAGTTTTTGGTGTATGACCTGAGACAAGGTATATTACTGGAGATACCTTGTGCTCTTCAACTTCAAGGGCCTCTTTTGTTTCCATGAATGAAATGAACGAATCATACACCATCCATGATTGGTTTCATTCGTTGGTTGCAATGGCTATAATGTTTTGATGGTGTGGGCAAAGAATAAAGTTTTTAATAAGTAAAACTATCCTGGAATCTTCAATGTTGCTAGTTTTCTTTCTTGTTTGCCATGAGAGGTTTGCAGGTGGTGAATTTTCCTTGGTAACATGGATTGTTCTAACTAGTGCAATAAGGAAAGACTACCTTCAGGAGCTGTTTGAATCTGACAAAATATCTTTCTTTTCTTTCAAACATTTATGTTTCTGTTTCATGAGATTAACTAATCAACTTGAAGAGATCTGCTATTTTAATTTATTGAAGTGAACGCTGCTTAACATAGGTAGCGCACTTTTTTGCTGTCTACGTTGTTTGAAGGATATAATTCTGAAGAATTGGATTTTCTGGCTTTCAATTGATATCAAGTTTGCCTACCATCCTATGCAGGCTGGAGTATACACTAACGCAGTGCACATGTTGGAACTTGATCTGCTTCTGAAAAGAAGGTGAAGAAATTAAAGTTCCACTCTCTTGTTTAAATTTTACGATTTCTGATTGTTAAAATTTTTCAGGTGCAAAGATTCTTGGAAGGAAAGGATGCTTGCTGAACGTGCTGAGGTTGTAAAGCAAACCAGGGAGTATTGGGATTTACAGACCAAATACGCCGTTGGGTATTGATTATTGGGTTTTCTGATCTCTCTAAATCATAATTATTTTTCCAAGACAAGGCTTGAATGGAGGGAGATTTTTAAGTAGGCTTCAAAGCGGCTTCAAATTATAGCATGGTTGAGCTATACCAGAGTTTCTTAAGATAAATTTCATAATTCAAGCATTACCAAGTGCAAGCTGTGTGATTTATTGGTGGTTTTGATTTCATCAATTTAAGGTCATGTTTACCTCTGTTTATTTGCCTTTGTGCCAAATTACAAAGCTTTATTTATTTACTTTTTTTCCCCTCATATTTGGTGGTCATTGGAGAAAGGAAAGGAAATTTGGAAAAAAGAAAATGATGGAATCAATATCCATTGGTTTTTGGTAGAAGAGGTATTTGGTCAGCACCAAAGTAATACCTATGTATTAATTTGATTTATTTATGAATTTTGATGGACCACACCTCAACTCCTTCATCGTTTGTGTTCGAAAAATTTCGTTTTCCTCCCGTGTTTCATTGTTTTAATGTTTTTGTATTCCTTTTTTTTTTTTTCACTTCCTGTCTGAATTATACTTTGTTGATTTGATTGTAAATTCCAAACAGGCCTAAAATCAAGTTTTTTTTTTTTTTTTCTTCTGATAATAAACTTGATAGTGTGGAATTTGGGGCTTTATTTGTGCTCTCTTCTACTCGCATGTTTGAAAACAACCTAGTTCAATAGCCATCTTTCTTCACCTTTGGAGTTTGGACAGGTGATGTGACAGAAACCGAGTAATGGCAGATACATGGTTGCATGAAGATAAGAAATTTCAATGAGCTGCATGGACAAGAATGCACTGTATATTTGTGAGGTTTTAAATGAAAATGTCTCTCCCTCCCTGTGACTAGTTATTGTCTACAAGCTTAGATAATGGGTATCCTAGTCCTTTTAATTTGACAAGGAAGTGTGATGGGTACCGATGCACAAATTATCCATCTCTTTTTGTGTGCTTGCGTTTCCTAAACGTAGGGTTAGATCATTAATATTATATATATATACACTATTGGAGATACTCTTTTATATATATATATATATATATATATATATATAAAAGAGTATCTCCAATAGTGTTCTTTATTTTTAGCTAGCATTTTTAATGTAAATAGAGAGCATCATTAATTATATAAAGTGAAGATTAATGTCTTCTCCAATGCTACTCTCTATTTTAACTTTTTATTTTGACAAAATCCATAAAACCCAAAAAGACTATTGTTGAAGAGACTGAGTAGCATATGAAATAATAATTTTCATTAATAAAATATAAAATAAAGAGTCATTTGGACTCTTTAGTATTTGAGAGCCAAAGACACTCTGTATCTTAATTTTAAAGATAGAGATTGTGATAAAGAGAGCATCGGAGATGGAATTTGGGTCAAACTTCTTTATTATAAAGAAAAATCTTAATATAAAGAGAGCATTGGAGATGCTCTAAGGCAAATGCCATTTGTTGGTATGTTTTTATGGATTTTGGTATTAGTAAGAGGCATTTGGAATAGAAATTTTCTAAGATTTTCTTGGAAAGTTCATTTAAGATATTAAGTATTTTTGTATTTGGTAAGTCAAGGTATCTTAAATTTTAGAGAATCACAAATGTCCTTAGGATATTAGATTGCTTGAAAAGCTAGGCATTCAATTTCTTTCTAAACTTAAGGGAATATGACTATTTGAGATGCTAAAGAGTTTTAGAAATGCCCTCATTTTTTATATTAAGTTATTTAGTATACCCCTATTTTTACTAATAAACACATATATTTTAAGTGACAAGTATGTATGTATGCATACATACATACATAAATAGATATGCATGCACTAAATATAAATTTAAATACTTTATATGTGTTTCAATGACTTTAATTTAATACGAAAATAATTATTATGTTACGTATATTATATAATTTGTTGATATACATATTATTTTAATGGATAATGATATTTATAAAATTAAATTTATCGTAGTTTTAAATACAAATTAATACAAGTGTTTATATAAAAAATAAGATAAATATTTTATTGTCAAATTAGATAATTTAAATTTTAAAGGTAAAATGGTAAAATTATTTGCATTTCTCATTAATTTTCAAGGATGAACCTAACGTATCGAAGATATATTACGGAGACTTTTTATTTTCAATTAAACACAAATATCACATTCTCATAAATCACATTCCTCGCAATTACATCTCACGAAAACATTTAGAATTAACATAACAAATGCCTTAATGTGTTATAAATAATAATAGGTTTTATGGAAAAAATTTCTTTTGTTATGTTGCAATTTGGCAATTTTAGGTTTTTAGAATCAATTTGCGTAATTTGATTTTTAGTATCAATTTGCGTAATTTGA